ACTCACTGGAGCGCTGTGAAGCACTTGTTCCGCTACTTGCAAGGCACCCTTGATCATTCCCTTGTCCTTGGTCCTGATCCCAATTCTACTGAACTCTTCACCACTTTCTCTGATGCTGATCATGGTGGTGACAAGGATTCTGGTCATTCTACTGGTGTCTATATTGTCAAGTTAGGATCTGGTGCTGTTTCTTGGAGCTTCAAGCTTCAGAACATTGTTGCTCTATCCACCACTGAAGCTGAATATATTGTTGCTGTTGAGGCTGGCAAAGAAATCTGCTGGATGCGAAATCTGTTGAAGAAAATGGGATATCCTATCACCTCTCCTTCTACCCTTCACATTGACAACCAATCTGACATATCTGTATTGAAGAATCCTGAGCACCATGGTCACATGAATCACCTTGATTTGCAATGGCATTGGTTGAGAGATGTTGTTGACTCTGGGCAAATTGCTCCTATGTTTGTTCCCACTGCTGAAATGCCTGCTGACTTGTTGACCAAAGCTCTTGCCAAGCCTAAAGCCAAAGTGTTCAGGAAGATGATGGGACTGATTAGATCAGAGGGAGCTGATGCTTGGGAGGTGCAGCATCAGGGGGGAGTGTTAGATTCTGCACCTTTGTGCTACCCATATATTTCTATTCCTTTCCTTATCTATTCCTCTATCATTCAGTAGTGATTGTGTTCTCTATTATTTTGCCTCTGTGGCTCCTTTGTTTACCTTTGTTTACAAAACTTCGGCCAGTACTGCAGAGTCCAATGCTTCCTATTCTCTAGTTACTCACATTGGACTCTAGGTACTGTATACCTGTCATACTCTCTAATAATATAGTTACTCACATTGGACTCTAGTTTCCAGTCCCTGATTGCTCTCAGCAAGTGGCTAGACACTTGCTTCAAGCTTTGTTCTTTATCAGGTTATGAGCCCTGGTATAACAACCAAAAGTTAGTTACTCTGGCGCACACAGGAACACACTATAAAGGTAGTGAATGGGGAGTGGTTACCCCTTAGGCTGCAGAGAGTTTGTTGGTTAACAACAGGAGGACTCACTGAGGAGTCTCCTGGATCTATTGGGGTATATATACTAATACAGAGTGTTGTTACTTATGTACTGTACAGTTGATAAAGTTAGTGGCTGATGATGTCATGGGGCCTAGCCCGCATGACCAGCTCCACTGTGTGAGAAAGTTGTATCTAAAATAAGAAGAAGGCAACGCGGCGCAAGAAAGAGGTGTTTGAACAAAAGGGGAAGTGCTGCGTGGCACCATGTGTGAAAGCTAAAGTGTACAAGGTTAAAGTGGAGAATGAAAAAGAAGGAAAGGTCTGAAAATTGTGTTATCGTAACACTACCCCCCTTCTAAGGCTCGACTTCCAGGCTCGACCAAATACCGGAGGTGGTAGTTAAATTTTCGGGCATAAGTTGAAAAAGGGAATTAAAAAGTTTTGAGTCCATGCCTCTAAGCTTCCTAGGAGCTGAGGGGTTCTTAGAATAAAATTTGCGCACAGCGTTGCGGGAATTATCCAGATGGGCTTCTGGTTCACATTTTCTGTCCTCATCTCCATAGCCCTTCCATAGGACTAGGAATTCTAATTTTCCACGCTTCAAGTGTGCGTCCACCACTTGTTCAACTTCAAACTCTTCTTCACCTTCCTGGTTGACTACTACCGGTCCGGGCCAGTCTACATGCTGTCCTGGCAGCGGCTCTTTGTAGGGTTTCACACGGCTAATGTTGACCGTGGGTACTACCCTCATTTGTTTTGGGAGTTCCAGCTCCACTGCATTGGATTTGACTTCCTTAATCCGGTAAGGGCCAATCTACTTTCAGGTCAGTTTTCTAGACTGCCGATCTTTTAACTTTAAGTGGTTGGTATCTAACCAGACCAGGTCACTGACCTTGTAGTCAGGGGCCTTAGAGTGTCTACGCTCTGCCCTGTCTTTCATCTGCTCTGCAGTTTTGAATAGCGCCTTGCGCGTTTTGTCTAAGACAGACTTCATGTCTTTGGCCATGTTCCAAGCAGCCTTGTTCTTGCTTTTGCCAGGTTCTACTCCCATTCTGGGGAGGTACGATCTAGTAACCTTGAATGGTGCCTTTCCTGTAGCTGACGACTGTTTGATATTATAAGAGAACTGGGCTATCTTCAGCCACCTGGCCCAATCTGTCTGCCTGTCATTAATAAATATCCAGAGATATTGTTTCAACTCCTGGTTGAGTCTCTCCGTTTGTCCATCAGTCTGCGGATGGAACACCGTTGATAATTTAGGTTTGATGCTCAAGGTCTTTAAATAAATCTGCTGTACCAGCAGCGGTAATGGTTTTGTTGGTGGGTATGAATACCACTTCTTTGGAGAAGCGATCTACTACCACCATTACTGAATTATACCCATTTGACTCGGGCAGATCCGTTGTGAAATCAACCGATATATCCTGCCAGGGACCAGCTGGTATCGGATTCGGCATAAGTTTACCGGCCGGTGGTTGATGAGAATTCTTAGCCATGGCACATCTTAAACAGGATTTTACATATTCCTGTATGTCTTTGACCATGCCAGGCCACATATAATTTCTGGAGATCAACTCCATTGTTCGTTGCCACCCAGGGTGCCCAGCCACTGGCATGTCGTGATGTCTATCTATTGCCTTGATCCTTGCGGACTCAGGCACATAGATCTTGTCTTTAAAATGGAAGAGTCTGTCTTCCCATAAATAGTTCTCATTGCCGTCAAGGCGCGCCTTCTCTTCTGAGGAGATGTCTTTCTTGAAGACATCCAGAAGATCGGAATCCTGCCCGATTCTAACATTGGCAACCCTTGATTGATCTATCAGGGTAACACCTTTGTTGTCATCTTTGATACTGTTGGCATGATCCTCTCTTCTGGATAAAGCGTCTGCTTTCCCCATAGAGCTTTCAGGCTTATGAATTAATTTATAATTAAACCTTGACAAGTACACCGCATAGCGGGCCTGTCTATGGTTCAAGTCTCGGGCCGTCATAAAATACTCCAGATTCTTATGATCAGTCCAAATTTCAAATTGGTGCCTAGCACCTTCTAAGTAGTGCCGCCAGTGCTCTAAGGCTCTAATGATGGCCAGCATCTCTTTGTCGTAAATTTGATAGTTGCGCTCTGTAGGTGACAAACTATGTGATAAAGGCACAAGGCCTCCAAAGATCATCAGGGCATTTAATTGACAAAACAGCCCCAGTAGCAAAATCAGAAGAGTTGGTTTCTAGCCGGAACTCTTTGTCTAATTCTGGAAATGCTAATATGGGCGCTGTTGTAAACACCTGCTTAAGCTTATCAAAAGCTTCTTGTTCCTTGGTGCCCCAGTGCCAAATAATGTCTTTTTTAGTGAGATTGTTCAACGGTCTCGTTATTTTTGCAAAGTTTTCGATAAACCTTTGGTAGAAATTGCCTAAGCCAAGGAAGGCCCTAACTCCTTTGACGCGAGTAGGTTCTGGCCAGTCCAATATAGCTTGAACTTTCTCAGGATCCATCCTGATTCCGTTCTGGCCTATGATCATACCGAGGAAGTCTACCTCCTTCGATCCTGTCATGCTCAGCCTCATCGTCCGACTTCGTAAATATTAACAAATCGTCAATGTAAATGACGACACAGTTTTCCATATCCGCAAAGATCTCGTTCATCATGCTCTGGAAGGTTGCCGGTGAATTGGTCAACCCAAAGAACATAACGAGTGGTTCGAAGGATCCTCGGTGGCATGTAAACGCGGCCTTCCAAGCATCTGCTTCTTTGATTTGTGCATTATTATACCCCCATCTGAGATCCATCTTTGTCAAGATCTTGGCACCAGCCAATTTGTCTACTAGCTGACTGATCAAAGGCAGCGGATACGCATTTTTAACTGTGTGCTCATTTACGTAACAATAGTCCATAATCATATGCTTTTTACCATCCTTTTTAGGAATGAAGAACACCGGGGACGTCATAGGGCTTTTAGAAGCTGTTTGTCTATAAAACTTGACGCCTCATCTCTTTCTGGAGCAGAGAGTGGTATCATGTGTCCTTTTCGCGTTTTGAAGGTGTCCTTCAAATCTATAGCATGGTCCCAAGGCTTAGCCTCTGGGAAGCGTTCTGATTTATGTTTAGAAAAGACTTTCCAGAAGTCATGATACTCGGGAGGTACCAGCCTCTTAATCTCTTCTTCGGGTTTTACCTTATCATCGTCATCGTTGATCTTTTCTAAAGATCTGAGCTCACAAACGTGACCAGCGTTTATTTTCTCAATACGCTCATTGTGACGGACATGATTCGGTTTACCCAAGTTATTACACTCCTGAGGGCAACATGACAATGTGACAACCCCTGTCTGCCAGTTGATCTCAGGATTGTGTTTAAATAGCCAGGTCCAGCCCAAGATTAAATTAATCTTCCCTAGTTGGGTAGCTTCGGCAGTGACTCGTTCTCTGTGTCCTTGGTATTCGACCACAAAAGAACATTTGTGTGTGATACAGCCACCCGCGTTAAGTGTACCATCAACGTTATAGACGGGAATAGATACATCTAATTTTACAAGGGGGAGTCCAATTTGCTCCGCCCAGACCTGATCTATGAAAATTCTGTTAGCGCCTGAATCAAGCAGTGCACTGGTTGGGTGTGCTATGCCCCGGGCAAGGTTTTCCACACCAACGTCTAAACAGATCTCCTTTTGGAATAAATATGTGTGCATTAACACACACCTTGGGGAAAAGGTATTGAAAATTACATGTTTTTCTATTTTATTTTTCCCAGAATCAAGCACCCTATTGTTTGTCTCGCCGGGGCCGCGCTCCAAGGGAGACACTGGTGCAGCGGTAGTATCATAAATATTACAGTTACAATGCTTCATGCAAGTACATATTTCTGATAATTTTTGAAATCTATTTACAAATTGGGGAGCCATCCCCTTCTTTCCATTATTGCTCGTGCAACACCCCGGAGCAGGGGCCACTTTGTTGTGGTTTACTTCATTGTTTCGTGGAGCGAAGGCACCCAAGTGACCTAAGCTCCGAACTCTTTTCTCTGAGCCTTCATTTCAGCAGCCTGCTGATCGTAGAAGAAGGCCCAGATTTCGTTGTACGAACGACCGGCCAGAGTCTGGAGCCAATCGTCCGGTTTTTCGGATTCTAATTGGCGCGCCTGGCGCCCTTGGTTATTTTTTTGTTGAGCGGCCTGCGCTCCTTTTCTGCAGTCTCGGGACATGTATCCCTCTTGGCCGCAATTATAGCAGTTCCCCTTGAATCTGCGCATCTGTCCTCCTTGGACCGCGCCGATATCCATGGGGGCTCCCTGCCCTGGTTGCAGCCCGAACGGCTTGAACCCGTGAGAATGATTTTGATGGTTTTATGACCCAGGGCGCCTCTGGGATTGGTTGTTTTTGGTGGTGGGCCCGCCACCTTGGTGCATAGCGTAGAGCTCCATGGCTCTACCAACTTGTTGTACTTCCTCAGCCGCCAGGGCCAGGTTTTCGTTTCTTGTATCCTGCAAGTATATTTGTTCTGCAATGTGAGGGTTCAAATTGTGCTCCAGCAGTTCTACTGCATGTTCATTACCAAGCCCTCCTTGGATGGAGAGGGCCAGGAACCGGGTAACATAGTCATCCGTCCTCATGTTTCCTTGTTTGAAGGAGCGGATTTGCTGACGCGCCCAGTCACGCTCAGCCTGTGGTTTAAAATATTTTTCAATCTCTTTCTTGAGATCATCCCAGGTTGGCCACACTCCCGCGGTGTAGCATTCCTGCAATCTAACTTGGGCGTATTGACCCGCCACAGGCCCCTTTAGTCGAGATAGCATCGCAGTGGCTACCTCAAAATCGTCGGCAAATGTGTCTCAATTTGCCTTAACCCATATTTGGAGTTTGATCCACCATTCGGCAAATCGCGCTCTGTCTCCCTCAAAGGTGCCAGGGTCAGTGACAACTTCGACTTTCTTATCGAATTTCTTCTCGACCGAGGGAGTTGCCGCAGGGGGATTTGCCTGCAGCTCGGCGAGTTGATCTGTCAACGCCTGAATCTGCACACGCATGTTGTGCAGCAGAGCATTAATATCCGGTTGCGACGACATGTTAACTTGTTCTATTTGTAAAGAAAGAAAAAGGTAACTGGGGGTCCCCACTCGCTTAATAAGCGGACCACCCCCTGACAACCGTTCGGACCAGGGTTTATTACAAATACTTTTTATATAATTTTCAAATACTATAGTGTGGGTAGTCGGAGATTGAGATCCGATACTCAGCTGGGAAGAGGTTGATCTGCAGATAGCTGTCAACCCTTCTCCAACTGGCGGAGGCAAGTGCCTGGCCTGGTCAGAGGTATAAGAAGAAGAAGTTGTATGTATTTTTCTAATCAACAATGATTCCACACCACTGTTGAGCTAAAGTACTCCCCTTGACACTGGGGGCCATATAATGTTTGATTTTGGTCTCTCTAGTACCTTGTCCTAAGGAGCTCACCTGCAGGGTTGGGGCACATACTTTGTTTCTTCCAGCTAGCAAAAGCTCAACACCGGTCTGGCACCAAAGTCTTACTGTTCGAAAGACTTCACTTAACCCTGTAGTCCGGGTTTGCACAAAAGTGCAAGAGAGTAAGAAGAGCAAGTCCTAATGTTACAACCAAAGTTTTTATACTCTGGTGCACACAACAACAAGCAAAGAGGATAGATGGAGGAACGAGTAAACCCCTTAGAGTAAGACCGAGTTAGTTGTGAGTAAACAACAGGAAGACTCACTGAGGAGTCTCCTAGATCTGTTGAGGTATTTATACAACTACAGGTTGGTTTGTACATGTATACTGTATAGTAGGTAGAAGCAGTGGCTGATGATATCATAGGGCACAGCATATATGACCAGCTCCACTGCATGAGAGAGTTATATCTAAAAATAAGAAAAAGCAGTGTGGCGCAAGGAAGCAAAAGTTTGAACAAAAGGAAAGTGCCACATGGCACAAGTGTGTGAAAACTGAGAAAGAAAGTTGTAAGTTCAAAAATTGTGTATTGTAACAGTATATATGATGAAGTATGGTAATTGGTAATTACATAATATGTAAATATTATTCAGTAAATATAATAGAAATCTGAGATATTCATGCATGAATAGACTGTCAAAATGTGCTTAATATCTCATAGATATGTGGTGTAACATATGCCCATTTGGATCATATCTTGATCCTTCAACTTCTGATTAACATCTGATCAACATGTGGCAAAAATCTAGACATTTTTGCCACATGTTGATTGTGGAAAATCGGACTTTTTCTGACATGTTAATCACCTTTCCTAACACGCTGGGAAACTACTATGTGGAGACAACTGTTGTTGATAAAGGAAGATTTCACAATGAAGACCACCTCTAAGTTAGCATCTCAGGCTCCTTCCCAGTGGGTGTTTTGAGGGTGGAGGTCCCATCTTATAGTATACAGTATATGACCAGATCAATTATTTTCAGGATGCAAGAAACACAGGACTCTAGGAATATATACCTTGTTTGTGCTTTTCTAGATTTATCATCAATTTGTCCAAGTCCACAAATTTTTTTCTGTCTCTTATCTAGGTTTTCTACCCAACTTAAAAGCTGTTAAGTGACTTCAAAGCAAAACCGATTTGGGATAGGCTATTTTTAGTGTGTCATATCACGTCTTACCTCCTTCTAGTATCATTACAGTACCATTTATGGATGGCTGAATTTTTGTACACTGATAAGATCACTAAGATATAATGATTAGACAAGAGATTAATACCATTGAAGATAAGATTAAAACCATTGTTATCTATTCAAAAGCTAGTAGTAAATGATAGCAAACAAACACAAATCTAAAATACAGTACAAGAAACTTTTCCATATAACAAATTACCTCATGCGATGAGATGGACCAAAGTACTTCATATTGTGCACTCAAAGACAGATTCCTCATGATATGTCACCAAATTTTGACATAGAAAACTCCTTCTGATGGAATCATCCATTTTCAGACTCCTGTAAGCAGCAAACCAATAACGTACTGACCACACCAAAAGCAAACTTGAGAGAGGCGGCTGACTTAAGGAGGTGAGCAAACCCTCTGCACTATGCAAATGGAGGACCACAGATAGGAAAACTTCGAACTCAAAGTACAAGATTGAGGGCTGAATATTTATGTGACTCATAAACAAGCACTCAGGTTTTTTGAGTACTTGACTCAAAACCCAAGCGCAATGGTCCTCTTCTGAGTTGTCAGACCAGATCCTATTCTGCATCCCATAACCTATCTCTGATGCTCCTTTTGCCAGTGTCTCAGCCCCGTTGCATAACAGGGCCAGATTATTGAAGACAGTTCATTTCCTTGAGAGAGACCACAAATATGGTACTCACAACGAACCTGCGCGCGCATCAGCAAAAAGGCATTTTGCTATCTAGCTGGGTGAGTTTCTATAGCTGCTATGATAGCTATCAAATTTCTATTATAGCCAATAAATCTCTATGTGAAGCCTTATAGTTACTATATTAGCTATACCAGCTATACCAGCTCATTTATGTCTATGAGAACCTTTTTCTGATACTAATAATGATAGAATTAATATTCACCGAATAGTTTGGTAAGCATACAAACTAGCCCAATTATTTAATAGAAATCTATCACAAACATCCAAAGCATTTGCTGCACCCCAGTGAGCAGGCACTTGACCTTTTCCAAACAAAGGCAACAAATGGCAGCCTTGTCGTATACTGCTCAATGATACTATGGAAGCTGGTGGAGTACCATCAGCTCCAAGTGCAGGTTTTGTAACCACATACATCATATGTGCTGGATCTGCACTACCTTTCAACTTGGTGTACCATTCAATGTATGCCAATGGAATTTTGGGCCAATGTTTTGGTATACCAACAGAACCACCATGAAAAATGGCAGGGAGCTTGAATATTACTTTAACTCTTCCAACATGTGTACCTATGTCATGAAACACTGATTCACAACTTGAAACTGATTATGAAATTAGAGGAAAATATTACCAGCAACACCTGTGACTCTGCTTCTAATGAGTCTAATACGACAACATTATCAAACTGTGGAGCAATTCTTTTGGACCTAGGTCTTGCTTTGATGACTTCATACTTTACACTTGCACTTGCACTAGCATCATCTCCAAGGTGAATTGGAGTGAGTTTGAAACTAGTGAATACGTCAAGTGAATCAAATGGGAGATTTGCAATACTGACTTGATTTCTGGACATATAACCTGGCTGACCATGCATTAGGCAATTCAGAAACTCCTTGATATCACGTATGAAGCCATGACATTGGTGGTTTTGTTGAATTGATTAAAGGGGTTGTCATGGAAGAGGAGGTACTTTGGCTATTTTAATACCTAAGCCAGATGGATTCTGGAGAATATCTTGCTGACGTGAAACTGGTCTATTTTGTAAAGACAATTGATAGCATTCAAGCCATGCAGCTTTTTCTTGTCTTGTTAGCCAGGTGGTCATTTGTGGATGCTCATTCCTATGATTTGATGCTCTCCATGCATTCTTGGCCATGTCTATGTGGAAATGTTCAAAATTATCTGTGTTGTAGTTATTTGTAGCGCCAAACCAGCGAATAGAGTCAACATAAAGAGTGGAATTTGGGAATATTCAAATTTTCTCTAACACCCAGAGTGACAAAAATTGCTTTGTTTTGATGATATGTTTTGAGAGCATCTGATAGATATCCAAGGGTTGTATCACTCTGTGTATGGTACTGAGCAACGTATATGAAGTCCAAGATTGATCTAATTGCAATAATTGCCTGCTTGGGGAGTTTTTCTACAAGGCATCCTAAAAGTACCTTGGCCATATCTTTTCTTTTGCCTCCAGATATCTGAGAAAGAGCTGATAAGCCATTTTTGAAATGCTTTGATCCATATGCAGGAGGTAAAGTGCGTATTCTTGCATCCAGTTCCTCTGTACCCATAAGATCTTAGCACCATGAGACGATATGTTTGATGACAACTTGATATAACCAATGCAAGACATCGGGGGTAATGCAAAAATGAATATCACAGTATGGAAATCCTTCCCAAAATGGCCTGTAAACACCTCCAGATACATCTTTATCCATACATTGATCAAAAAATTCTCTCCTTGAGTTCGAAAATGAGGCTTGATTAATGACAGAGAGAGTCCAGTCAGACGTTCTAGGTTCCCCAGCTGCTTTATTTTCAAGGTCTGTTGCTGGACGCCTGCACTTGGGACATGTTCCATACTTTGAGCAAGTCACCAGACATTGCTCTGGATAGTCGGCAACATAGCAAGCAAGAATAGGGTGAATTTTTCTCACTGCACCATCTCCACCTGTAACCTCCATTCCTTTACATCCAGCCTCAATAAGTGGCTCCAAAATCATCCGTACTGAGGTATGGAAAAGTCTTTGAACACGTGCTGAGAGGGTTTGTGTCTAATAGAGCTGGGTATATATCCTAGTGTAAGATACACTGGATATGCAGACTTGTTGCCTGAGAACTGAGTCAACTGAGTTTTGTCTGTCACTATTATAACAGGAGCAACAGATGCTCCCTGAGGTAGAAGAGCCTAAAATCAAAGAAATAAGTATGAAATTTAGAAAAGAACCACTGGCGTGAATATATTAACCTGTACAGAATGCCACCATCTCCAAGTCCACATCTCATCAAATATACAATCATCCCTGTTGCTGTTTGTGAATATTCTTGAGGGTTTATAGACTATGTCTGTTGCATGTGCTGGATTGCCCAACAAAGACGCAATGGCTTGTAAGGGGTCTCTATATTGTATAAGGTGTTTTTCTTCTGGACAATCATCAAAATGTAGATATTTTGAGTGCCATTTGGCTCTTTCAGGAATTTTGGAGTCGATAATTTTTAGAAGGCTTCTGCTATTTTGATAAGAAAGGCCCAATCTCTGGGAAAGCTGGCGTAAAGGTTGGAGGTCAGTTAACTTAAAACATGAATCAAAATGTGGAGGCATCACTCACTTCAGGAATTACCAGTAATCTGTCAAGAGATTTCTGGCCAACCCCCTCCTGCAATGCCCAATGTGCAAATTTCCAGTCTAATTCTGTGGAAAATAGAGCCCATCTATTATATGGAAGATCAATGTCCATCTCATCATCATCTTGATTGAACTGGTGAAAACTCTCCCTCCATTTATTATAAGCATCCATATCCACCCTTATAACCTTGCTAGCATTCTCATTTTGTTCCACTACTCTTTCATCATCATCATTCCCTGACCCACAGATGCAAGCTGGCAGCTCACATCACCCCAACTCCCTGCACTTCAATTTGGATGACAATGATGTTATCCTGGGTGTTGCCTTGCAATTCTTAAATGGGTTTTGTAAGCTGTCGAGGAATATATCTTCTGACCCATCTAAGTCATAGTCTTCTTGGTTGCAAACATTTTCATCCAAGTTGACTTCATCATATACTACTTGTTCAAGGCCCAGGTTGTCTGCCTCAAGTTCTCTTCTCTTTCCTTTCCTATACCAAGCACACATTGCTGACATTGATAGGTGAGCCATGACACCTTGTGGTGTTTTCAAAAGTTTTCCACATGCAGGACATGTGCGATCAACCATACTTGGTAAGTGTGCCATTTTTTCCTTGAATCTATATTACACCATACACATCCAGTCAGTTTATGAAATAATAACACCCGTTAATATGAAATTGATACCTTTGATTATCTAGGACCTGTTTGTAAATATGTTGTCAAGACGCAACACCTCAATCTGCACCGGCAATATCCCAAATTGGAAATACGTAGTGGTAAAACATAGAATTTGCTTGTTCTAATACAAATAGAAGTTGTACATGTCTAAGTACAATATTGTTTACACGCACAGAGTTCAAGAACAAGAGAAGTAATACATATAATGTTGTCCATGTCTGTTTTTCACTTCCTCCTTGTGACATTGTTGCTGGAGCTACCTACACCCAATTTCTGTCGAACAAGCCGGCCCACTTCTTTTTCAGAGTGAAAAGAACTCCTTCTCCTAGCTGCCTTAGCACAACTTTGGGGGGCATTATAATGATTATGAAAATGTCTATGTGCCAGATCAGCTACAGATCCTTGAAAAGCCTGAAGAAAATTGTCAAAATCTAGCTGGATATTGAAGACTGAGAGATTGATGGAAGATATCTCTTTAGGCAATACTTGGGGGTGCAAATGGGGAGTAGATAGAGTAGTGGTGGGTGTGCGTGAATGGGTACCACTCTGAAGAGGACAACCAGTGCAGTTTGCTATCAAATCCTGGGTAGCATTTGGGTCCTTTTCATACAGGTACATATCCACCACAAATCTACCTGCCCATGTTACACCGTCAGCTGTCATCCTTTTGTAAGTTGTACCAATATTGCAGGTTGATGGGTTCAGCATACCCATATCGGGGCTTTGCATATTTGTGGGATTCATAGAATTTGACCACTAGAATGCTGACAAGGTGGGAGAGCTCCTCCCAGTACTTTTTCACCTTCTGGGTGATGTCACCAACTGACTGGGAGTGGGAGAACTCAAAAATGAGCAACTCCTGCCACTTAGTGCTAGGGTTGAGGCATTGGAACTTGAGGGCTAAGTCGGGTACAGTGGTGATTTGACCTCGCCAGAGGAACTTGAACATATTAGAACTCAACTTGAACATCCCATCTGACCATCTGATAAGGCCTGACAGTTTCCCCTGTAAAAGTTCACTGAGGCGCTCAATGAAAACTCCATGTACAGGAGTAGGCATGCTCAGTTGCAGGATGCCTTTCACATGGTCATACATATATCTGAAAGTAGGGACATAAGTACAGTATACTCACTCACAAAAAATCATACCTTAGAGTGCTGTAGTCACTTTCTCTGAGCTTGTCCACAAACTCAGGGAAACTTGATGGTTCAATATAGAATTGCTAGGGGGGAAAATCAGATCAGGAATGTAGCCAGACAATGATTTCTCACCTGGACATATACGTCCTGAGAATTATACTTCAAGTTCCTATCGATTTGCTCAATGATGGGCTGGACTTGATCCTCAGATGTAGTGATTGGTGCAGTATGGGTGGACATTGAAAGAGTGGATGTTGATAGATTACTTGGGGGAGTGGCAAAAGATTGTTGTTGAGTAGCTGTGCATTGTCATCAGGTAATTTTTTGAAATTAAATAACTGACTTACCTTCTGGTCCAGGAGATGACTTTGACCAAGTAATAAAGGGGGTGTATCAGTAGGTAGCACCATTTCCAGTGGAAGTGGAGGATATTGCGTACATGGGGAACAGGTGCGTTTTTGCAGACTGAGAATGGGATATTCTGTAACAACCAAGAGTTAGTTACTCTGGCGCACACAAGAACACACTATAAAGGTAGTGAATGGGGAGTGGTTACCCCTTAGGCTGCAGAGAGTTTGTTGGTTAACAACAGGAGGACTTGCTGAGGAGTCTCCTGGATCTATTGGGGTATATATACTAATACAGAGTGTTTGTACTTATGTACTGTACAGTTGATAAAGTCAGTGGCTGATGATGTCATGGGGCCTAGCCCGCATGACCAGCTCCACTGTGTGAGAGAGTTGTATCTAAAAATAAGAAGAAGGCAACGCGGCGCGAGAAAAAGGAGTTTGAACAAAAGGGGAAGTGCCACGTGGCACCATGTGTGAAAGCTAAAGTGTACAAGGTTAAAGCGGAGAATGAAAATGAAGGAAAGGTCCGAAACTTGTGTTATCGTAACATATTCTGCTGAAATACATCTCAGTACTCAGCCAACCAAGTAAGTAATTTAAAAAAACCCAGGAAACTCACCTCATATCTAAATATTTACACCAATATGTAGGCGTTAGCGGGCAGGCAAAGAAGAGAATGATTCAAAAGATGATAAGCGGAGAGCTGCCCACATCCACAGTTGGACATGTGCAGTTGCATTGTTCTATGCAGTGTGAGGAAGGGGACGACAGCTGATCTATTTTCTCACACTGCATGTAATCAACAGGTTGCTATTGTGGAAAGCCAATAATCACTATGAGAAAAATAGTAAGTCTCTGTTCATTTCACCTCAGTGTCAGCACTCACCGCATACAATTGCAATAATGAATACCCAATGAGCCGTGAGAGAATGAACGGTCAGACTGTCTATTCTCTCACAGCTCATTGGGTGATCTAATCTAATCTTTGCTGGGACAATCCTGGACCATGTGAGAATAGACAGTCTGATCGTCCATTCTTGCACAGTCCAGCGGATTGCTGATTTGACGTTATAAGCAATGCAACACCTTGTCATTTTGTTGTGTAACCAAAGTCCACTCTACGTCAACCTTTATTTATAAGTGTTTATCAGATATTTATATTATCTGTCCAGGTTAGAAGAGCTACAAAGGAAAGCTCCTAGGTGGTTTTTGCAGTATTGTAAAAACACTTACAACAATATTCTGTGAGTAGCCTACCAACTTATTTTAGAACAACACTAATAAACATTATATTACACACAGTCAACAGTGTGATTTACAGTACTTGAATGCACAAGAGGATGACTGGGAGGATGAGGTTGATTGCAGTGCTTGAAGATTCAATATCCTTATAATTGGTGATGTATGCATGTCATTGCATGGTATCAGGAATATACTATAACAAATTCTCTGCATATAATCTCTGGCTAGGGTGCTATAATAATAGTGAACAAAACTGAGAGAATTTGAAAACTATGATAAGCTTGTGGAACATATATAATATGACTATTCTGAAATAACCATTTATGGTTATTATATCTATTTTATTCTATGAGAGCAGCCATAGTAGAGATGGATTGTATATATCATAGAAGTGATACTATAGCTGGTGTAGCAAACATCTCAAGATAGCCCTGCTATATCCTATATAATAGGGACTTGTCTAGGCGTACTATAGCTACTATTTTCCCTATATATCACTATGACAGCTATGATAGCTATAAAAGGAAACTAGGTTTTTCCTGAAATGCAGCCTTATCAAGACACTCCACCAACAATTTTCCTTGTACGTCCCAGGTAGATATGCCTTTGTTATTGAATGCCTTCTTTGATGTTTCAGTCCTCATGGCATCTATCCCTGCCTTAGTGAGCCTGGTAATACTAGGCTCAGCTTGCGGTGGCAGTACCAACAGCAGTGGTGCTATGGACAAGTGAGTATTGGACGGATTGGTGGGCAGCTAATTCTGGTGAACCATAGGGGGTATAAGCAGTGTAGGGGGGAGAGCATTGATATTATTATGGGTGGGTTTGCTTTTCCTTTCTTGGGCCACATTGCGGGTCTCTTGAGCTTATTATAAATGAATTAGTACAATGTAGCCTGTAAAATACATAACTCACTCTAATAACTGCAGACATCCATTTTCCCCTGACTATTTCATCTGGGCAATGAGGAACATGTGCTATCACAACACACATTCTTGGGGGTGCCAATGTCATACTGTGCCGCTGGCCAAGCTCAGCTTGAGAGTCCTGGAGATTATTGTACAGGCCATTAAAGTCACTCCAGCAATAAGAACTGACTCTTTGTAGCTGGCAGACACTGATTTTCTGGGGATAGGGGGCCTCAGCCCCACAGGAAAAGCCCACCACAGGCTGCAAAGGCTAGGCACTGGTGAAAAAAGGCAGGGCAAGAAGGTGGGGCACTTGCCAAATTGTTATATCAATCATCAAGGTCTTGGGGGCAATCAACGTAGAGCCCAATTTGCAATCCCATGGGATATCCAGATGAATTCAGGCCCAAGTTGTTCTTCAGTTTTGGGACATTCTTCAAGGATGAAACCAGCTTTGTTGTGAGTATCTCAATAGTGTATGTACTCTGACGTTAACCCTTCTTTTTCTTTTAGGGTTTGGTGGTGCAGCACTGGAGAATATTGGCGTAGTAGGTAAACGAGAGCAAGAAAAAGCTGCTCGTTCATGATCACAAGCCATAAAACACGGTTGTATCAACAGCCACACCAGGTGCATAGCTAAATATATCCATGAGAAAAATCTGGAAAAAAAGGTTGAAAACAAAAATACTTTTTTCAAGATATTTTTCCCATAACTACTTTTTTTTTCAAATGGAAGTTTGGATGATGCAAAGAGCCCTTCATTGAAAAAAAAA